ATGAATCAGCTAATTAAAGTGCTATCTTTAACAAAGCGTATCATCACTCACTGGTTGCATAATACAAATGCTAATACATTCCTTAAGAGCTTGAATCTCTAAGTAAATTCTGCCATGTACTTTCTGTGCATGCAGGACAACTCATCCCAGAAATCAGTGGCTTCAAGTCACTGTTTTTGGTCCACAATTTCATGGGTCATAAATTAGACACAATTCAATTTTCATGTTGGTTTCTCTTAAGTAGCATGATTGAGTCCTACTTTGTTAGCAATTAATTCATCTGTCCAGCCATAAGAAGTTCAGCTTCCTGGAAGACCAAACAGTCAGTATTAATCCAAGTAGGAAGAATGGTCAGTATGTGCCTGTGGGCATGAATTTGACACTGGTCATCTTCTGCCTTGGGTAGAACTGGACAAACAAAAGTAGTCTCGAAAATTTCACATTTGTGGCCACTGGTGCTGATTGTCAGTGTGGCCATTTGCCTCTGACAGTGCGGTTTCTTCATAGGGTCACAGGCTTCCATAACTAGTAAAAAGGAACTGTCCCCAGGGCTTCTTGCACAACATTTGTTAATATTGGAAAGCTAAGCTACCTGGCCGAGCAAGTCAGAATGAGAATGCACCATACAAAGCATGGATAAGGAAGCCAGGATTCAGTGGGGCCATTATTGCTCCCATCTACCATCAGGTTCTATCAAATACAAGATGCCAGAACCCTGTGATGTTCATCTTGTTAATGGGATCCCTTCTGAAGTCCATCCTTTGCTTGAGAAATCAAAGAATGCACCACCATTCCTAGGATACAATCCAAATGACTAATACCTCTCAGGGAAAAAGGGAAATGAAAGGAAAGGAAAGGAAAGGAAAGGAAAGGAAAGGAAGGGACAAGGAAAGGAAAGGAAAGGAAAGGAAAGGAAAGGAAAGGAAAGGAAAGGAAAGAATTCTTGTCTGGAAAACAGAAGAGGTATAAAGAAAGAAAAAGTGTGTGTGTGTGCGCGCGTGCGTTATATGTGTGATGTAAATGGTCATCTGGGCATCTCTCCTACAGGTAGAAGAAAGAAGTATCATGATGCTAAACTTAAACTCCATCACTTACACTGTTCTTCCCATTACCTCACTATCCAGGCTGTTTCCCCTTGATGCAGCCATTGAAACTGTTCAGTGAACCACAGATTTCGATGATTGTCATTAGGTTTTTCCTCTGTTTCTACATCTTGGCTTTCTAAAGACTCCCTCTCTCTCTCTCTCTCTCTCTCTCTCTCTCTCTCTCTCTCTCCTCAGACTTATTTCCCTCTTTGCCCCTGGAGTGATCACCTCCTACCTCCTTGCATACTATCAGGGTCACAATAGTATTCTGTCCTCCTTTTACTATTTTATTTCACTGTCCAAAGTTAAATTACTCAACATAGTTTTAAACAGTCTTCTCAAATCTTAATTTAAGACATGATTTATCAATTAAAAGTCCTTATTGCATTTTAAATATCATTTGGTCCACAACTGAATTCTTGTTGAAATAATAATGGCTTTCTTAATTGCAAGAGTTCTGAGTCATGGGCTAACTAAAAATATCTGTTTGTTTGTCTGAAAACCATGTGGGCTGCCTTTCTGTTGACTGACTTGGCTTGACTGAGTCTTGAGGGAAGCTGTGTTGCTTCAGTTCTAATCAAATTCACACTGCAGCTCACGTGTCCAGAAATGTCACTTTATCCACCGAAATGAAAGAGAGCCGAGAGCCAGTTCATTTCCTGAGGGGCCAAACGGACATTTCCTGCACATTACTGCGCCTGAATTCTAAATGTTAGCATGTTTCAAAACATTTTTCTCCTGCATATATTTCTCAGTATCTTGTACGCTTTCCTTGCTCTAACCCAGAAGGTTATGTGGCATGTGCTGAAATTTGAAATCATGCTTTACATGCCTGAAAATTTGAGAACTGAGGTAAAAGAGGACCCCAGAGAAAGCATGTTTCAATTACAATGTCACCATTTTTTTCTGAATATATGAAGTAAAGAATCAAGCCATGAAATAGAGAATGATGATAGATAGTTTGGCACCTTCTTATAGAGACATGGCATTCAGAATATGTCCTAGTTTAGAAGGGACAGCCAGCCACATGCTGTCAAACATGCATTTACAAGCGAGACACAGAGTTTGTCACTGCTGCCAAGGAAAGAATGGTCCCAGGAAACGTTTACATGATAGCCTCAATAATTTAAAAGTGAACCAAATTTGGAGCATTAAAAAAATGCTGTAGAAACAGGAAGCTATCTAGCCATATGTAAAAAGGAAAGCATATTTATTACGTGCCTCAATAAAGTTGGTAGGGAATAGAAAATTGACTTCCATTAAGTAAGCAGAATGGTCACATATTTCTATGGCCTGAAAATAAGGAATCTTCCTGGCCACTTAATTTTAGACGTCATCCCAGGGACGACACATGTTTTTAGTTGCAAAGCCCAGGGACTGACTTGTGACACTGTAAACAGTGCTTGTGAGCAGCAGTCACGTGCCACATGGACACAGAGCCACAAGCCATGCCTACAGTGTGTTCACATTCCCAAAAAAAAACAAAACGGAAAGGAGGCTCGGAAGAAATCAGGCAGGAAGCAGACAGGTTGGTGAGAAACTGTGAGGAGTGGGACTAACAGGGAGTTCTGAGAGACCAGTTTTTACTTAAAATAAAAACAGAGCAGAAGAACATGCAGAAAATAGTTTAGTGCTCCTGCTTGTTTTCCGAGGAAGAAGACGGTATGGCACACGGAACTCTTTGCTGTTCAATAAAGCAGGAGGTCCCTACCTTAGTTCTTTTGGCTTTGGTGCAACATTGCCTGGAATCAACAACTTTGGGTCTGGAGTTCAATTCACAGTCTCGGGCCTACAGACTATTTAACCCAACAGAAAACAAAAGCGGTGCTCGTAACATTATTTCTGTGTTGTTTGTTTAGGTGTATATATTTCATGTGTTGTTTATGTATGTGTGTTATTGTTCATGATGGAATTTTATCATTGAAACATCTTCAAAGTATAATTACTTCAGAATAAGAGCATTACAAGGTGGGGTGTCACAGCAAGTAGAGAAATGTATAGCAGTACAGAAACTGGAGAAAGAGAAGGAGAAAGCTTCAGTTCCTCAAAAGAAGACGAATGAAAGACATAGAAACGCACTTGATACAAACAGAAAAAGTGGGTGGTAATAGGTTTAAATGTAACCACATCAATCCTGGTTTTTTAAATATCTAAATGACCCAATTGAAAAGCAAGGTGCCTATACGTGCCACTTGTAAGAAATTCACTCTTTCAGGGAAACAGAAAGGAGAGGGTCTCTTGGAGACCAGGTTGACCTAAACTCATTACATAGTTGAGGAAGAGCATGAACTGATCCTTCTGCCTCCACCTCCCAAGTGCTGTGACTGGAGATGGCACTGAGAATCCAGCCCTGGGCTTCATGCATGCTCACCTCCACCCAACCTACGAAGCTACATCAACAACTCAGAACCCTACGTTCTGCATGAATACACAAATGGTTAGAAGGTTAAAAGACAGAAAAGGTTATAAATACTAGAGTTGGAGAACACAAGGAAATGATTGTAATAATGACCCAGAATAGATGATAGAGCAAATAACATCAGCAGAAATAATAAAAAGCCATTTCCTAGGTATAATGGGGCAATTCATCAAAAGCACAAAAAGTCTAAATATTTCTGCACTATTAACAAAGCTACAAAAATGTGGCATAAGAAAACTGATAGAACACCAAGAACAAATAAATATAGAATTACCCTCATAAATTTCAATACTCTCGATAATTGATGGCTCCATTTGAATTTAATTTATAAATGGATTAACCTAAAATATACTATTCAAATTGTTGATAAGATCATTTTTGAACAAGATTTTTGTGCTCGCAACAAAACTATTTATAATTAAATAATTAATTTCAGAATCATTTTCCCCAATATCTCTAAAATTCGAAACTGCTAGGGACATATAACCCAGCAAAGGTCACAGCTATAGCGGTGTGGTCACTGGGAATTTGCACCCAGTAAATGCTACAACTTGATTTGCTCCAACTGCAATGATAAGTCTACTTTGAAATGATGTGTGCAGAAAATAGAGAAGGAACAAAATGGATTAAGGGCACCTGATTGTAAAAATGCTATTTCTAAGAGAACACAAATGTTACATGAGATTCTGTATGCCCCTCCCCCCAACACTTTCCTGGGGAGAATAGATAAACCACTCTTCCATATCTTTGATCTTGCCAATCATAAAAGCCTACACCTCAGAAATATTTTCCTTGGGCTAGAGAGAAGGGTCAGCAGTTCAGAGCCCATATTGCTCTTCCAGAGGACCAGAGTTCAATTCCCAGTAGAATTGTCAGTGGGCTCAATACCACCTGTAATTCCAGTACCATGGGATCTAACCCCTCTTCTGGACACCCCCAAACTCCGGTACTCATGTGTATATATCCATACATAGATATACACACGTATTCAACATTCTGTTTTAAAATCTTATTTTTTCCTATATTCTTTTTCATTGCCTCTATTTAGGACATTATTATAAGTAGACATTATTATAAGTAGACAGATGCCCAGTGAATAAATGAATGTCAGAGACTACATTTTCACTACCATTCTGTCCAACAGTAAAAGATCTCTCTCGACTTAAGAAAAAGCCATAAGACTGAGTAATATTTCCCAATGTATCAGTCACTGATATTAATGTATTTCTCTGTGACAAAAAGCAGGTGGCCAAGTGTGATTCTGAAGGACCTTTGCTGTGTGAAAACCTGGATTGCAAAGTTTAATATTCACACAGATTCTTTCCCCACCTCCACTTCAATAGGAAATGCAGTAGAAATTCTACATTTGCTTGGAGAGAACCATGCTGAAAAAGAACACACCTTGACCATTAAATCAGATTATCAATTTCAAAACAAAATACTACTGTCTTCGGTGTTCATAATCCCTTAAATATTGTCTATCTTGTGTCTCCCAGGTCTCCTGTTATGGCTGGAGGTCTCTTCGCAGTGGATCGAAAGTGGTTTTGGGAACTGGGTGGCTACGACCCAGGCTTAGAGATCTGGGGAGGCGAGCAGTATGAAATCTCTTTTAAGGTAAGACAGCCAGTCTGTCCTAACTCCATAGTCACAGACAGTTCTGAGAGAGTGCATCGTTTGGTTTTGCGGTCTGTGTTGTTAGTTGGAGCTACTCCTCCCAAGGGAACTGATGGAAGAGAAGCCACTTCCTCCCGATGTTATAGTGAGTCACAGCCATGCTCTGTGAAAAAAGAAACCATTCAACTCCTGTTTATAGGTGAGCAGCTCTTCCTATCTACCTCTGCTGCTCCCCTGGCAAAGGCATTTATCCTGGAGTGCTTGCAGTGTAATGGAAATAAGAGTAAAGCTGAGGAAGAGGGAGAGAAATCAAAGTTTTGCTTTTCATGTTCAAACAAGAGGGAGTAACTCAGATTTTGTTCTCAACCAGTTATTTCAAAATTCCAGGAATTGAAAACGACTTTAATTTTAAAATATCAATGACTAATTGAAGGCCATTGTTAAATTTTATTTTATTTTGAGAGAGGGTCTTGAGCCTAGTCAGCTTGAAACTATATAAGCCAGTCTGAAACTGTATATCCTCAAACCTACAGTAATCTGCCTGTCCAGCCTTTGTCTTAACCCTTGTTTGTATAGAAGCAAAAGCTGACACTGCCGTATGGAGATCTGCAACCTAAGCCAGCCTTGGTGACTACGTCCATTACAAAGTCCAGTCGGTAGTTCACGACCCTAGAGAAGCTAAGGAACAAGGTGAACCCTAAGAAAAACACACATAGATCCACCTGGGAAGGAAAAATAGACAGATCGCCTGACAAAATTAAGAGCACGGAGGTGGGGGGAGTAGGGAAGGCGGAAAGGGAAGATGAGGGGAGAAGTGGAGGGGGAGGAGAACCTGAGAGAATGGATAGTTGAGATAGAAGAAGGACAGAGATAAAAAATATAAATATATATAATAAAATATATATAATATATATAAAAATATATTAAAAAACAAAGTCCAACAAGTGCTCCTTGCAAAAAGAAGTATACCCTGAATCTAATGAAAGACAAACATAAGAATCCAGCTACAATATTCAGATATAAGAGTGATTTTGATGAGATTATAACACTAAGTATTAATAGAACATTATGCTTTTCCTCAAGGAGTCAGAGAACAAATATTCTCAAAAGAAGCAGAGACGCCATTGTAGGCTTTGGGACAGCTAGAATTTTCCCTCTCACCTTTAAATACCATTTACTAAACTGGTGTATTTTTACCCATCCAAACATATAATTTTGAAGCTAAGATTATTGTTTGCGCTGTTTCAAGCCTTTGGATTTGCCAGTATCTTTGGGCAGTCACTGTACATCTCTGTTGCGGTAGAACAATTAGTGCAGAACTAATAATTCCACAGCAGCATGGCTACATTTGTAGTGCTACAAGCCAAATGCTGAATGAATATTTTGTGTTTGCCGATTCTAAAAAGTAATCTTAAGAGGGGTTATGTTATTCCATCATCTAGATGAAGAAACTGACGCGTGCAGATTTTCTTTGATTAGCTTTCTTTAGGTTTTTTGTTTACTTGTTTATGTTTGGGGGTTTTGTTTGTTTGCTTCTTTGTTTCATTTGAGCTTTTATTGATTCTTCGTGGTTTTCACATCATGCATTCCTATCCCATGCATCTCCCTGTTTCTCTTATCTGCCCTCTGTCCTTGCAACCTCCCCCTAAAACAAAACCAAATTTAAAAGAAAAAAAAAAAATAAAGGAGAAGGCTCTTGTCACAGACGTTGTAGTGTGACCCGTTGAGTCACACCTGTCCCTTTAGACCATTCCTCTCTACTTGCAAGTGTCCATTGCCAGGAGTCATAGGTCTGGTTCCAGGCCAGCTTCTGCTCCACCACTGATAATGGCTCTCACTGGCACTCTTCTTGGTTATCATGCTGTTGTTCTGTGTCATGGAGTTCCTGCTGTTTGGGATCTATAGATTCGTCCCCTTCACCTGCTCCAACAGTTCATAGATTCGGTGGATGTTGGGGTGAACCAATTCATAGCCCTGGTTCTGGGGCTGGGTGGTAGCTGTTTGGTCAGCCTGCCAGCTTTCCCTCGTTATCACTACCCTGGTAAGCTCTCCAGCATTGCCTTGGCTAGCTCACACAATACAATCTGAAGCAAGGAGCAGGGCCAGTTCTCCCGCCATCAGATCCAAGTCACCTACACATCCCCACCAGGGCCAGTTCTATTCTTTTGCCCAGGCAAGATGCAGAACCTACTTTTCCTATTGCTGTAGGAGACTATGGGGAGCCGGGTATCTCTTCTGCTCTCAAGCCCTTAGAGCTGGCTCACCTGCACCCCTGACAACAGGGTCAGCTCTATTGTGCTGTCCAGGGCTGCAGGGCCTGCTCTTCTGTGTGCTGCAGCTGGGAAGGGGCAGGGCTAATTCTCTCACTCTTGTGACCCCAGGGCCTGTTCTCCTGCCTGCTGGAGGTAGCAAGAGGCAGAGTGGGGAAGGGTAACTTTCCCTCACCGATGCCACTACATGGCAGACGAGGGGTTTCTTTATGTTTTAAAGATTAAATAGAGACTATGCTTTCAGGAAGCTATGATTTGGTAGAGATTAAATAATTATCCATTACCCACTTAGGGATCAACAGGTCAGCTTTGTTGATAAGACTGCTACACAAAAAAAAAAAGAAAGAAAGAAAAGAAAAACAAAGGAAAAGAAAAAGAAAATGACTACACTGGGAGCAGTTTAAATGGGAATGGCTCCAATTTGAATAGTTGGTCCCCAGATGGAGGAACTAATTGGAAAGGACTGAGCAATCCAGCCTTGGGTTTTTTATTGGTTTGGTTGTTTGGTTGGTTGGTTGGCTGGTTGGTTGGCTGGTTGGTTGGTTGGTTTTTGGTTTTTGGTTGTTTTTTTTTTTTGTCTTTGTTTTTTGTTGTTGTTGTCCTTTTTGGTTTTTGTTTGTTTGATTGGTTGCTTGGTTGGTTGGTTGGTTAGTTGGGTTTTTCTTTTCAATCTATTTATTCATTTTATATCCTTACCACAATTTATCCTCCCATTCCTTCCTACCCACCTCCTTTCCATCTCCCACCCACTCCTCCTTTGTTTCTGTTCAGAAAGGAGCAGGCCTCCCATGGATGTCAACAAAGCCTGGCATATCAAGTTGAGACAGGACTGACCTCCTCCCTTTGTATTAAACCTAGACAAGGCATCCAGTATTAGGAGTAGGTTCCCAAAAGCCAGCGAAAGCATTAGGGACAAGACCTGCTCCCACTGCTAAGAATCTATGTAGGCCAAGCTACATATATGTAACATATATGTAAAAGGCCTAGGTCTATCCCATTCAGGTTCCCTAGCTGTTGGCCCACACCCTGAAGGTTCTTATGAGCCCAACTTAGTTGTTTCTGTGGGTTCTTTTATAATGTCCTTGACCCCCACCCCCGACTCACACTATTCCTCCTTCATTTCTTCAACAGAATTCTTTACTCTCAGTCCAGTGGCTGTGGATTTCTGCACTTGTTTCCATCAGTTACTAGATGAAGGCTCTCTGATGACAACTGGAGTAGTCACCAATCTGATTACAAAAGAAGGCCAGTTCAGGCTCCATAACCACGATTGCTAGGATTCTTAGCTGGGGTCATCCTTGTAGATTCCTGGGAGTTTCCCTTGCACCAAATATCTACCTGAACCCAAAATACCTCTCATACCAGTACATTTCTTTCAGTACTCTCCATCCACTCCACAGCCTGATCCTTCATGACTCCATCCCTACTCTACCCAGGAGATCTCTTCTATCTCCCGTTCCAAGAGAAACGCGCCTCCTTGGGGCCTCCTTGTTACCTAGTCTCTCAGGGGGTTGTGGGGTATCTGGCCTTGCTGAAGAAGGTGTGTCAACTCACACCATTCCCAGTTGGCTCTCTGCCTTGTGCTTGTGGAGTAAATATAAACTTTCAGTTACAATTCCAGAGGCCCATCTGCCTGACTGATGCCATGCTCCACACCGTGACTCCCCGGAACTGTGAGCCCCAAATTAAATGCTTTCCTACATAAGTTACCTTGCTCATGGTGTTTCGTCTCTGCAATAGAAAAGTAACGAAGATAACATCCGATCCTTATCCACCCACATCCTTAACTTCACTGTCAGGGTTGTAGCTTAGGAGTTCTCCCGTAGATGCGGTTGATGACCTAGAAGGCATGTTAAAGAGCTGGATGCAGTGGTGTACATGGGCAATCCCAGAACTCCTATGAGGAGATAGAAGGAGAAAACAAGAACATTACTTAGTCATTGCAGTCCAGCTGGCCTGCAGTAAATACATAAATAAAGCATTTTAAGATAGAACACTATATTTGGTCTCTGTATTTATAAAAACATTATACTGATCTGTTTCTTATTTTTACCAGACCTGAAAGAGTACATTTATTTTTTTAGTTCAAGACATTTTTCTGATACTCTCTTAAGAGTTGAATGCTTTAAGTTTAAAATGTTGAGAGAATTTCTAATAAGAGATGTCCTTGGGTAGTGGGCTGGCTGACAAGCAAAATTGCTATTGAGAAACTGAAGACTCCGTGGATGCCACTGTTGCGTTCCAAATCACAAAGGTACCTTTTCAAGCGAGCATAAACTTGCGTCTCACTTCCCTGTCACTTGTACCCGTCACATCTCTTCTGGGTGACCCAAGATTTTATTGCCCCATTTTCTATTTTTCAGTTGTCTGTCATTGAATCGGATATAATTGGAATGCAGCCTTGTCGTCTTTGTCTAAAAACCATGGCAACCACATTGGGAATTCAGGACGAAGTTGCCCTAGTTTGTTTGGTTGGAATGATACATTCTCTCATGACAATTATGTCTTAGCAGGGCGTCGTTTCAGGCAGGTGTCTTTGTTCTTCTTGATCCTGTTTACTGACCTTGGGGTTCCTGTCCCTCCCTGTTAGTATTTATGAAGTAGGTAGAGTATGCATTGAAGCAAGAATCTGGGCAAAAGGAATCAGTCAAAGGCACTACATAAAATTAGCTCTAAGAGTCACAATAATAAAGAAAATTTCAAACATCTGATTTTTTGGACACATCCCAT